GGGATGTGGCTCAAGCGGTAGCGCGCTCGCCTGGCATGCGTGCGGCCCGGGTTCGATCCTCAGCACCACATACCAACAAAGATGTTGTATCCGCCAAGAACTAAAAAAAAAAAAATAAATGTTAAAAATTCTCTCTCTCTCACTCTCTCTCTCCTCTCTCACTCTCTCTTAAAAAAAAAAAAAACAGGTGGTAGGGCTGGGGTTGTGGATCAGCAGTAGGTAGAGTGCTCACCTAGCACGGGCAGGACCCAGGTTCGATCCTCAGCACCACATAAAAATAAAATGCATTGTGTTGTGTCCATCTACACCAAAAAATAAATATTAAAAAGTCATTGTTTATTAAAAAAAACAGGTGGTAGCCTAATATTCTGTAATTCTTATAAATAAATTTTTCTTCAGTTCTTATAAGAAATAAAGAAAGGCCAGAAAGATTGATAACTTCAAGCTCTTGGCAAGTGAGAGCTGAGGCAAATTGAGGGCAATCACAGGAATAGGAGAATAGACTTTTTTAAATTGAGAGGGACAGAATTTAGCTCTTACTCCAACAGAAATGAACCGTATCTAGAAAATGACTTTTAATTCATAAATCACCAACAACCGGGCTGGGATTGTGGCTCAGTGGTAGAGTGCTCCCCTAGCACGGGTGAGACCCAGGTTCGATTCTCAGCACCACATAAAAATAAAGGCATTGTGTTGTGTCCATCTACAACAAAAAAGATTCTTTCTCTCTCTCTAAAAATAAATAAATAAGTCACCAACAAGGACCTGAGCTTAGTCCTGGGACATGGACACAGTCTACCATAGGAACCATGGTGGGGACCATTAGGCTTCTTGATGCACAGGAATTTGTAGACATTTGCATGATTTTTCAGTACCTCTTGCCTTGCTAATACCAATACTAGGAAAGCCATTTTCCCAGGGAATATTTTTTTGGTGACAGGACAGAGTGGGAGTATAGTTTGTCTGAATAAATGTATCACATTTTTGTTCCTGTGGGTTCAATGACCCAAGGAAGAAAAAATACAGCAGTAGTCCAGTAGGTGGTGCTGTATCTGCCTAATTCATCAAGCACTTACAAATTAAGGTTGTATGTGACCATGTCTTTCCCAGTAGCATATTTTCTTCAGTCCTTTGGATATAAGTTGAATTTAGCTATACTTTAAGTTAAAGATATCTGCCAAATTAAACAGAATTTGCATTTATGTTAATCTCCACTTCTAATTCAAAATATGCATTCCTAATCAAGGTAACCTGGCAGTCAGTACAAAGCAAGGCTCAGGCCCAGAGGCGCAAGAACATATTGTGTTCAAAGCAAAAGGTTTTTCCTTTGTTTCAATTTTAATTAATGCCATAGTCAGGAGGCTTAATAACTGGCAGGCACAAGCAAAACTGATATAAAAATCTTTTAATATTCATTTCTTCAATACCCTGCTGTCTGATAAAGTCAGATATGTGTTTTGTTACTATCCTTGGTAGTCTAAGATATTAAAAAAGACAGAGCTTAGGATATTAAAATGACTTATGGAATTCAGAAATATAATAATGTGCTCCAAAAGATAGCTTCATGAGTTGGAGTTCTAGTTTCATAGCATTCAGAAAGGTCACATTTCTGAATATTACCCTGAATATATTCAGGATATCTGGCTTGTCTCATGTCAAAATGAGAAGTTCTAGGGCACATTTATGAAATTATTTCATAATTGGAAAGTTATGAGATTCACAATCTACTGAAATTTATAATCCCATGGGGAGAAAAAGGATCCAGATATCCTTATCTTTTATAACTTGTGAAGTCAGTCTCCGGTATGTGTGAGCCAACAGGAAGAATCTCACTGCAGTTATTGTAAGTAGTATTTTTTTTTTAAGGAAGAGAGACTCTTGTTGGCTCTCAATGGAGCTGGCCTTACTTGTATAACAAAACAGATGAAGGACCCTTGAGGAAGTTGGTAGTGACAGCAATGGGTAGACAGTGGAGGAAGTTGCTGCACTACATATATAACTCCATGTCCCACTTAAAACCTGGTCAGAAGAAATGCAGACAAATAAAATAGTGTTGATGGTGACTCCAGTTAGTCAGAAAACAGACAAAATAGAAGTCAAAGAGAAGTGAAGAAAGTAGGGGGAGGGCTGGGGCTGGGGCTCAGTGGTAGAGCCCTTGCCTAACATGCATGAGGCACTGGTCGGATCCCCAGCACCACATTAAAAAAAAAAAAAAACACCCTGAATAAACAAAATAAAGGTGTTGTGTCCATCTACAATTGAAAATATTTTCAAAAATGGGGGTGGGGGGGCAGGGAGAAGGGACATCTTCCAAACGTGTGAATCTTACTCTTGTGTGTTACCTACATATACCTCAATGAAGCTATTAATCACATGATCATACATATTTCCCATCAAAATAATGGAGAGCATGTTAGTTAGTTTTCTATTATTACAACAAATATCCAAGATAATCAGTTTACGAAAAGAATAGCTTTATTTTGGCTCCCAGTTTTGGGGGTCTCAGTCCATGATGTTTTGGTCTGGTTGCCTTTGGGCTTGTGGTGAGGGCGTGTGGCGGAGCAAGCTCTTACCTCACGGTGTGAAAGCAAAAAAGAGGAGGAAAAGAGTACTCTCCAGTGGAGTATCTGGAAAATGCTGTTTCAGAGATAAAAATAGCACATTTTATTGTCACATTGAAAGGATTGTGAAGATGTAAAAACTTACCAAAAGATCTACTTAATATCCTGAGAGTTAAGATTTTTGCTTAAACTTGGCTTCTTGGTACAGTTGTTTAGTTTTTGCCCTATCATTCTCCTAATTGAAACATCATCCGTATTGGGAAATAACTGTTTTGTTACTCCTGTAAAAGACAACAATAACACCCCAAAACACTTTATGAGACTTTTGGATCTTAAAGCACAAACTGAGGCAAAACATTAAACATCCTACATTGTAATTTTGTCTCCATTTTACAAAAGTATCCCAATTCCCATGAGGTATTTAAATGATTTTGTTTTCAAAACAAAACAAGAGATAACAGAGGGTTCATATTGTCTGTTTTTTTAAATTATACATGGACACAAATATCTTTGTTTATTTTTTTTTATGTGGTGCTGAGGATGGAACCCAGTGCCTCACATGTGTGAGGCAAGCACTCTGCTACTGAGCCACAACCCCAGCCCCAGAAGGTCCATATTGTAAAAGCAGAATATACTTTTGTCTTCCTATGGCACCATTCAACTATAACCCTGCTCCTTACTTCCAACCTGAAATCTTTTTGCTCCATAATGTTAGGTATTTATTTTTATCCATTCCTAACATCAGTTGAAACAACTAGATTCCAAATTATCTTTTTCCAGCTAAGAAATGACATACATAGAACTAGGATTCAGAGACTCTCTAAATTTGTTGGATGATTGCAAAAAATATATATATTTATTTTTTAAAATAATCTAGATGATTATATGTTAGAAGGTTCATTAATTTAAAAACCACAAATAGTATAGTCAAATTAACCTTCATCTTTCTAGAATAAAAGATGAAGGATATAACCAAGAAAGAGAAAAATGGAAATTGTTATTGAAATTTTATTTTAAACTTTTTTATTTTTGAAAATGGGGGTGGGGGGGCAGGGAGAAGCCACAAATGTTATTAATTCAAACTTTTTGGTCATATGACCTTCAGTTTTATTTTAATAACCATTTTAATGAAAATTTTCCATAAATTTTTCCATGTTTAATGAAAGCATTATACTATTCTAAAATTTTTCTTTCATAGAGCAATAAATTTGAAACAAAATAAAAAGGACCATGAAAGAATAACTTGACCTTGAATGGTAACACAATTTCAAATTTGTGTGACAATATAATGTAATGATATTATCACCTATGATTTCTTGAACTTCATTCTGATTCATAGCTGGTTTTACGGCTTTGTCCCTTGAAGTAGAGGATTTTGCCCCTGTCAGGCTATGTGTGGCCATGTATTCGTTTGTGTAAAGTACTTGCATTAAATCATTAATAAACTTCTGAGGCTTGCTCTTATTACAACGGGCAATCTGCCATTTTTCAATCTTGAACTAAAAAAGTAAGAAAATGAAATAGTTGAAGTTAGAAAAAGAAAAATGGTATCTGGAGAAATATATTACTAATTAAGATGTGCCAGCAAACAATATCAACATTATTTAAGGTGACATATTATACTTTAATATATGCTTTACACTTCAGAGGTTAGAGCTTAATGTTATCTTTGAGATAATTCTCAGTATTTATGAGATATTTGTTCCAGGGTTCATGTAAATTCTTGTCATGTAATCTGGATTTGGTGCTCCAAGGATCAATCCTATCCTCAGCACTACATACCAAGTGTGGTAAGCAGAATAATGGTCTCTGAAGATCACAGCCTAATCCCTGTACTGTGACTATATTACCTCACAGTACAAAAGCAATTTTGTAAAATGAGATTAAAGGTAAGTACTTTGTGGTGGGAAATTATCCTGGATTGCTCGTGTGAGCTTAATCTACTCATACAAGTACTTAAAAACAGAAGAGGGAGGCAGAAGAGTGGGTCAGAAAAGGGAGACACAAAAAGGAGGAAAGATAGAAAGAGAGACTTATGTGTCATGGCTGGCTCTGTAGGCAGGAGAAGTGGGCCATGACCCCAAGGGTTGTGATTGCCTCTAGCTATGGGAATGGCCTTTAGTTTAGAGCCAGCAAGAAAATGGGAAATTCAGTTCTACATACAAGAAACTAAGTCCTGCAACACAAATGAACAGGAAACAGATTCTCCTTTACAGTCTTCAGGAATGTTCCTGCTGACCTCTGATTTTAGTTCAGTGAAGCCTGTTCCAGATTTTGGACCTACAAAAATATGAGATACTAAATTTATGTTATTTGAAGTCACTAAATTGTGGTAATCTGTTACATAGCAATAGGAAATTGGTATACTGTGACTCAAATATTCTGAATGTTAGATTGTTAATATTTCATTATCCCCTTTGAAGACATAATTTCCAAGGCTGATCTGAGATTTTAACAAAACCTTATCTTTTTTGGTTTCTGATTTTTTATTAAGAGAAACTGCAAAAAAAAAATAAAAAATAAAAAAGGAATTGTGATCCTCCAGTGCACAGAGGCTGAAATTTATCTTCTCTCAATTATATAAAATTTTATAACTGTTGATGCCTAAGTATCCTCCAGTTATTGGTTTTAGAATGTAATAGCTTAAAAACTTGATCATTTTTCTACAATTTGTCTTTAGTCTTTTACACTGGGTATTTGCTTTCAGAAATTAATTTTCATTTCATAGATAAAATAGTTCAATATAATAAGAATATTAAGGTTATGTCCTAAACTTACCTAAAATCTTATCTGACACAACAATGATCATTTCTGCCTTTATTTTAATTTTTGCATTTAACTATTTTCCAGAGAACGATAGGGCAAGTATTCCATCTGACCTGCTTCTCTTCAGGATGATGCTCCTCCTCAGCTTTCAAGGAAACTGGTGAACTAGAATTAGAATTGGAATTACTGCCTGTTGAGGCAAATGAATCTGGTGAGGAATTATTTGTTGCTCTCCAGAGAGTGGATGCAGATGTGGACATGGTCCCTCCACCCTTAAGCAAGGTTTCCGCCATGCTAACCAATTCTTCAAACTGGGTGACTGCTTGTGGTAACACTGCAATGGCAAGAGAAAGTAGCATTTTACAAACATGTTCATAAGGGTGCATATTTACATGTTTTTATTCTGTATATGTGCACAGAACTATGAGGAATAAATTGTCAAAATTTTCTACCTTTGGTAAATAAACATAGTGGGGAGGGTGAAACATTGATTTTTTATTATTAAATAACTTGATAATTGTTTAATAATAATAAATCAATTTTAAAACATTTGGTCATTGTATTTAAGTGTGTATGTATTACTTTGAAGCTAAAAAGTTGATACTTAAAAAGTTGATTCTTTTTTTCTATATTTGAAGGTGTTGAATCTGTCATTTGGAGATGTGTCTGATTCTATTATCAATTACCTTCTGGAAGCTTACACTAGGCCAGTTTAAATGCCAAGATAAAATCAACAAATTCTTACAGATTCAAATAGATTGTCCACAACCTTTGTGTATGGTCCACCACCACCGTCAAAATCTATCAAATTAATAAAAATACACTGCTGCAATTCAAATCTATGTTGTCATGTATTAAAGACGAATTTTGCTAATCAACTGAATATTCACTTTGTCCCTTTTTGTTTGTTATTGGAAACTTACACATTCAAAGTTTTCATGCTTCCATGTAAAATGGTCTTCTCTGTTGTTATATCTAGTTTGTTTCCTAAGGACAAATAACAAGAGATCTTGAACCCTGTCTAATTATATTCCTCAATCAAATGTCAAGGGCACTGCTTGCTGGAGAAGTGAAAGAGACTCTGAAACAAACTGAAATAATCTTTATCTCCTCCCTCTCTCTCTCTCTCTCTCTCTCTCTCTCTCTCTCTCTCTCTCTCTCTCTCTCTCTCTCTCTCTCTCTCTCTCCTTATGTATTTTTCTTAAGCATATTATTGAGCTATACTCTTTTGAATAATTTATGACAAATCAAAATTAATACATCTTGTACTCTATGAATAGGCAACTCTACCAAAGAAGAATTTATAGTTTCTTATTCTTTCAATAAATATTCACTAAGCATCTCTTATGGTGCCAGACACTTATTCAATCAGTGTTTATTTATTGAGCATTTAATAATATTAAATATTTATCTAACTTTTTCTCTGTGCCACAAACTATTCTGAGAATTCCTGTGATGTTTACTTAATCAACCCTCATTGCAGAAGAGGTCAATTAGAGGATAAGTAACTTGTCCAGAAGAGCCAGATTCAGACTGTCAGTACCCACATCCATGTTTTACAGACTCTCAATATTTGCCAACCACTATGTGAAGTGCTAGGGGAAAAAACTGGGAACAAAACCAGATGTGACCCTTGCCCTTTTGGAGCTCAGAATATGGTGGATAATCTTTCTCTCTTCTCCCTCTCTCTCTCTTTCTCTCCTTTCTTATGTATTTTTCTTAAGCATATTATTGAGCTGTACTCTTTAGAATAATTTATGACAAATCAAAATTAATACATCTTGTACTATATTCATAGGCAACTCTACTAAATATGGTGGAGTGGGGTAAACGGGAGGACATTATTCACATAGCCATGCAGTACAGTAAGAATTTTGTCTTGCTCAAAGAGGGTCTGGCCTTTGTGCCAACTCCTAGATGGTAACTTCTAAACCCTTTGGGGTTTCCTGAAGGATAGATTTATCTTTGTTAATCATGGTGAGCACCTGCGACCCACCTGGTAGTTTATGCTAATAAGGTAATTCAGAGTAAGGTCTTCTGTACCCAATATCCAGAGGGTGGAAGGTGACCACAACTAGAAATCTAGAAAGATCCACCATATAATTTAGAGACTGAATTCAAGCATGTGGACAATCAATCAGTCATGCCCATATGAAGCCTCATTCAAAACTTTGGATATCAGAACTCCAATGAGCTTCCTGAAGGAGCATTACTGTCTGCTTATGGTCACACATAGATCCAGGAGGGTAAGACTTCCTGAGGACAACAGAACTCCATATTTAAAAACCTCCTAGATTCTACCCTCCTCATATTCTAATTTGTGTCCTTACTTTGTAATACAATCATGACTTTAAATAGGCTTCAGTGAGTTCTATGAATTTTTTCTATCAGATTATTAAATGTGAGGGTGGTATTAGGAAATCCCCAAGTTTTGTACTTGGTGACAGAAGTCTTGGACAGATTTGGCAGTCTGGAGGACAGTGCCCTTGACCTTGCAATTTGACTAACTTGTACATGCAAAGAAATAAAAATTATAATTCTGAAGTTACACAAAGAAGAGGCATTGATCTGAGAGCTAAAGACCCAACAGGAATTAAAGAGCTGAAGAGACTGAGGGAAGGTCATTAGAAGCACAGAAAACGCAAGATCTGTATTTGAAGAACTGAAAGAAGACTAAAGCTATAATGTCAAGACAAAAAGGGAATTTGGTTTAATACTTGAAGATTTATTTTGGTTGTTGTATGAATAAGTAATTAATTCCTTTTTGTCAATGACTATATTCCATTACTTCACAATTAATACTCTGCAACAAATGTATCTAATCATCTATTGATTAATTATTTACCATCGATACATAATTTTAATTGTTCCCTAATATTCTAAGATATCGATGTTGTATAATTTACTTAAATGCTCCATTTTTTCTTCTTAGAGATTAAGTTGCTTCCAATTTTTTTAAGAGAGAGGGGAGAGAGAGAGAGAGAGAGAGAGAGAGGAGAGAGAAAATTTTAATATTTATTTTTTAGTTATTGGCGGACACAACATCTTTGTATGTGGTGCGGAGGATGGAACCCAGGCCGCAAGCATGCCAGGCAAGCTGCGCCACCGCTTGACCCACATCCCCAGCCCTCCAATTTTTCTTTATTACAAACAAAACTCTGACCAGCCTTCGAGCACATACGTCTTCATGTGCATCTCTGATCATGTCAATTCTAGACATTTCTCAAAGCATTATATTAGGGTCAAGAGGTATAAATGTTTTCAAGATTCATTTAGTTACTAAATTCTCTCCAGAAAGACTTTTTATGATTTACATTTCCATTAAAAATGTAAGACATTGTACCACTAACAACAAGCTTTAGTCATTAACAATAATCTTCATTTTTTGAGAGGTTAAAGTCTTAGTAAAATTTAACTTGTGATTATTTAATTATTGTGAAGTTAAATATATATTTATTTGGGTTTTTTTTTTTTGAGTGTTTGAATTTCTTTTAAGAATTACCTATGAGACTATTGGCACCAGTACTTTTTTCTGTTTTTTAAAAACTTACATGGCCTATGTAAAATGCTTACAACACTGCCTAGTGTACAATGTATAAGTTATTGCTGTTAACTCTTTTGTATATCAGCAATTTAATTATTTGTATGTTAGCATTATTTGTATATTTGCATCCTAATCTTTTATTTGTATTAAATTGTGAGTACCTTTCTCAGAATGTTTCTCTCTTAATGTTGTCACATTTTAAAAGCATACACAAAAGCCTAGTGTGACAGTGTGCACCTCTGTAGTCCCAATCACTTGGAGTCTGAGGCAGGAAGATCCCTTAAGTCCAAGATTATGAAGCCTGGCTGGGCAACACAGGGAGACCCTGCCTTTAAAATTAAATAAATAAATGTGTGTGCACACGCCCAGTTTGAGTCTTTATTCTAGTTAAAAGTAGTGGTATTTTCTTAGTATATTGTCATTTTATTTTATGCTTGAAAATTATTCAAATATTCATTCATATATTGAATAATTGTAACATATTTTTAGAAATGTTTTCTCCTCATATATATATTTTAAACTTTTAATGGAAAAATTTAAACACAGACAAAAAATGGTAAAATACCCTAGTTTCTGCTCAAGTAAGGCCAATCTTGTTCTATTTTCCCAACTACTTTCTTCCCAAGATTATTTGATTGGAGTCACACACATCATCTCATTTTATTTGTAAATATTAGTATCTATAGACATTCATTCCATTTATAAGTATGTATTTCTAAAAGGTGAAAAATTAAAAAAAATATAACTGGAACACCACTGTCAAAATAAGAAATAATTAAAAATAATTCTTTAAAAAAACCTGGTCAATGTTTAAATTTCTTTGTCAAGTTGTTTTTGTTTTTGTTTTTTAACAGTTTGAATCAGGACTCAAAATAAAGACTGTGCATTACAATTATTTGCTGTTTCATAGGAACTATAGGTTTCCTCTCCCTCTCCTAGTTTTCTCCCTTGCAATTTATTAGTTTAAAAAACTGAGTCATTTGTTTGGAGGATTTCACTTGGTCTGGATTTTGCTGATTTTACGGCTAAGTAGGCATTTAACATATTCTTCTGTTCTTTGTATTTGATGTAGATTAATAGTTAGATCTGAAGACTTATCAGATTCAAGTAGTACTTTCATTTCCATCAGGTTGCATTTAATGCGTGGTTAGCTCTTTTATGATATTATAAGCCACGATGATCACTGCTTAGGTTCATTATGTCATAAGAGGTCCCCGAATGGTGATATTCTAATTATTTTATTTTTTGCTAATTAGCTGAAATTCTTTTAGAAAGGGAAGCTCCCTCTTACCAACTATTTGGTCACTCAGAGGTTCATTTCATATAGTAATGACAGGATAAATGCTTCATTTTGGGGGGTCTGTTTTTGCCAGTTTTCAAAGTAATTAGACGCTTTTTTCAGATGACTAGTAGATTATGAACTCATACGCTTAAACATGTACAATATGTTTCTATCTATTGGGATTATCATTCTTTTTATTTTATTTTAATTTTTACATTTGTTCTAATTAGTGTGGTTTTTATTCTTTTTGATGCTCAATCTGCACTTCTTTGGTTAGTAGGAAGCTCTTCTAGTTGACACAATCACAGTGTTTGCTATACTCCTCACTGGTATGGCAAGATGTTCCTATTTCCTGTTCAAAGGCTCATGTGGTGTATTCCATGTGCAGATATCAAATCAGCCTTTTCTTCAAGGATCTTGAGTTTCTTTTAGTGGGGAATAATGCTATAAGACTACATCCAGGTGCTAGAAATGTCCTTTGCTATTGAGTTCTTGTTTCTAGTCCTAT